AAATCACGTTTTTCTTGTAGTGCTGGACTGCTTTGTGCATCAGTCAATAAGCCTTGGGTATTCCAATCCGATGGTTGGTTGGACCCGACATGTTTGGTATTCCAACCTGATGGTTGATTGGACCAAATTGTTTATGATGCGAGGGTATTCCATCTTGAGGATGACTGGGCCCCATCGTAGACAATCCTGGTATTCCAGCCCGAGGCTGATTGGGCCATGCATGAGTATTTGAGCAGCTAGTGTATATGTTATATGTTTGTGCGGTGGTATTTTGGGGGAACTCACTAAACTTCGTGCTTACAGTTTTGGTTTATGGTTTCAGGTACTTTGGAGGACCGTGACAAGGCGAAGGCGTGACGGTACACATCCTTGGTTTTACAACTGATTGAATATTGGGAGACTCTGATTTTAACTAATGTTTTGGAAACAATGATTTTGTAAACACTTTTAATAGTAAATGGGTTGTTTTGAAAGGTTTAAATTTGTTGAAAATTTTGAGATGTTACAAGTCACAGGTTCCAAATTTTTAGATGTTTTACTTTTGACTTGATTCTTTCAGAGATTCAGCTTATTCGATATCAAGGTAATATTTAATTTGAATGGTTGGTTATCAACTTTTTAATTATTTTTTAGTTATCATTTTTATGAATTTTGTTAATAATACTATTAACCAAGTAGAAAGCATAATGTCATATTTTAAAAATTATTGAAATGAAGGTTTTGCCATAAGTTTGTATGTTGCTAAAACTATTATATTGGATACGAATTTAGAACCTACATTTCCAATAAAACATCAATTTATTATAAAAAAAACAATTTGATGAAACTAATCATGAAGAAGAAACACAATCACTTGGAGGGTATTTTAAGGTTCATTACTTTTTGGTTGTTGTGGATATAGTAATTGTTTTATTAGAAACTCGTTTTTAACAATTAAAGAAATTTAAAAGCATTTTTGAATTTTTATACGATTCAAAAAAATTAAGTCATTAAATAAAAATGAACAAATAACATCTTATTAACCATTCCCGTTACTGTTGTATCTGCAGAGAGAAGTTCTTAAAAATTGAAGTTATAGAAGAATTTTTTTCAAATGATTTTATTGCATATTATGTATAAAGAAATATATGTTAGAGAAAATTGATTTTGCATTTAAAAAAACTAAAAGTATTTGCTTTTAAATTTGTTGTTTTTTTTTTGTAATTATTGTAATTTTGTGTTTTTATGATATTATTAATGATTTTTTATAAATGGTAATTTTTTATATTTGACTTCAGGGGGGACTTTTTTTCTATCTCGGACCAAAAATATGTTTGGAATATATATATATATATATATATATATATATATATATATATATATATATACTAGGTGTAAAACCCGTGTATTACACATGTTTATTAAAGAAAATAAAATAATAAAATGTAAATAATAAGTATTTTTTAAAATTAAATTTTGAAATAAGGAATGAAGAAAACATATTAATTACAATTTTGTAATAATAAATATTTTTTAAAATAAAAATTTGAAATAATGAATGAAAGAAACATATTAATCGCAATTTAGTATAATATTTACTACATTTAATACTTTACATATATAAGTATAAGTATTATGTGACTTTTTAATTTTAAAAATTGAAAAAAAACCATAAATTTACATGTGGATATTATTTATTTAAAAAATATCACAAAATAACAAGTGTCAAAACTCATTAGAGATTGACATGTGATAAAATTATCTTCATTTATTATAGTATATATATATATATATATATATATATATATATATATATATATATATATATATATATATATATATATATATATTAGGGGTGAGCATTTGGACCGGTGAACCGACCGGACCGTTTTTTTGTACCCCCGGGCCGGTTCTCGGTTCTAAGATTTCTATCCGGTCCGGTCCGGTTTTTACCGGGTTTAGAACCGGTTGGACATGTTTAAAAAAAATCAATTTAATTTAATCGGCTAAGTCGCTAAGAATCTTGACCCCATAACAGTACGTAGCCGCTAGTATGCTACCAATTACCTTACGCAACAAAGATCGACATCAACTGATCATCCAAAATTTCAAGTCGCAAATCGGAGTCGTTGCCCTTCTCTCAAGTCGCAAGTCGGACGTTCCTATCAGGTTATCGTTCCTTCTCTCAACCTTCTCGTCTTCTCAGTTCTCTCTCTCTCAACTCTCAAGTGTCGATTCTCCCCCTCTCACGTCTCAAGTGTCGATTCAAGTGAAAATCGATTTCTCTGAAACTCAAGTCTCGATTCAGAAGTAATGGAGTCAAAAATCCAGAATGCTAATTGGATTGGTCTTGATGATGATGAAACTCAAGTAAGGGTTACGATTTTTGGTTGTTTTTTTTGTTAATTTTTGTTGAAATAACAAAGAATGTTGTTATATTTAGTTGAATACTTGTGGAAAAAAAATTTATTGTTATTATATGTAAACTAGGGTTATGATTTTTTGTTTTGTAATTTTTGTTGAAATAACATTTTAATAATTTTGTAATCTGTGGTATTTTTTAAACAACCATAACTCATTCGTTTTAAGTCGGATTGACACGCGGTTTTTCCAACGTTTAATTCACAGTTTGTAGATGAATTTAGACTATAATTTTTTGATTTTGGTATTATATTCAATGACTTACAATCCTTTAAAGTTGAGCTATCAAAGCTGAAATATTTCAGCTTTTTAGATATTATTTTAGACGATAATTCTGAATTTTATGTATCTTTGACAGATAAATCATATGAAAGGGATCTCAGTAGAGTACCGGAAAATTATGACTTTGAAGTTATAACTGAAATGGTGAAGTTCTTTGAAAAATTCAAGGCAAAAACAGAGCTTGTTTCGGCTACTTCAAAACCTTTGGTAAATCTTTTTACCCGGGAAGTCTTAGATGTGGACATAATTTAAGAAACTGGTCAACCAAACCAATGTTTCTCGAAATGGTAAAAACATGAAGACGAAATACGACAAGTATTAGGGTACATACAACAAGATGAACGATTTTATGCACTTTGCGGTTTTACTTGATCCTACCACCAAATCACCTTTTTTGTTACATGCTTTTAAAAAAATGATCGGGTACATGGAAGTGATGGAACCGCCATTGACCCCTGCGGACATAGACATAAAAGCACGTCAAATGGTCCGAGAGATTGAGAATAGGATGGAGAATTTATTTATGACCTACTTGAAACGATTTGACAACGGTGGATCATCTCAACAAGAAGCGAGTCAAAAAAGTCATTGATGTTGATGATGATAACGACTTTTTCGGTGATTTTCTTTGTACGGGAGGTAGCAACTCGGATCCAACAGATAACGAGTTTCGAACTTATTTGAAAGAGAATATAGTTAATTATAAAAAATATTTTTCAATTCTCGAGCGGTGGAGACTAAACGCGATTAGGTTCCCGACAGTTGCTCGGATGGCGAAATGTGATTATTTTTTTTAGTCTTTCATAGTTTCTTTATAAATTAATGTTGTTACAATTTAATTCTTTTTTGTTAGACATATTGGCGATACAAATCTCAAGTGTGGCGTCCGAGTCCGCGTTTAGCACATGTGGTAGAGTTGTAAGTGAGTATCGAACTAGTTTATCGACTTTGATAGTTGAAGCTTTGTTATGCCAATTGGGAATAGCCCAATTGGTAGAGGCTTAGTCTCTTAGTATGGGAGAATGGGGGTGTTAGGGTTCGATCCTTGTGCTAACAAGAATTGGAGTATTAACACTAACACCTAACCAGTCAAGTTGCCGTTCAAAAAAAAAAGTTGAAGCTTTGTTATGCACCCAAGATTGGGTGAGAAAGTCTACAAATCCAATAATTGACAATGTTGATGACATCTTGAACGATGATGATATAGCTTTGGGTAAAAAATTACAATCTTTGTTCTTTTTTTTATACAATTATTACTTTTTATTAAATACTAACAACATTTTCATTTGTGTTTATGTAGAGATTGCACAAGCTTTGAACATATTAGATATAGATGACAATGATATGGGGAAGAGGCTAATGCAAGATTAGATTATGAGTTTATGAAGTTTGATAGTTTGATTGATTTTAAAGTTTAAACTATGATTTTTGGTGTTACGGTAATACTTTTGTATGTTTGTCTTATGATTGTTAACTTTTGTTGGTAAACTTGATTATATGTTAGTTGCTTTTATTTGGAAAACTAATTTTGCAAGTTATGCATGAAACGTAAATGTAATCATTCTATCAAGTTGTATCGTATCAAACTCAACAACATATTTGTTTTAACGAGTTCTATGAAACCCAAAACCTTATTTTAATGATTTGTACTCTATGTAAGTAAAGTTGTACCGGTCCAAACGGGTCCAAGAACCGGAAAACCCGGACCTGGACCCGGACACGTACATGGACACGGACACGATTCATCCGATCCGGTCCACGGTCCACAAAATTCTCCATAACCGGTCCGGTCCGGTTCGGTCCAAATGCTCACACCTAATATATATATATATATATATATATATATATATATATATATATATATATATAACATATGTGTGGCATGCATGCGTCGAGCGAAGTCACTCGCAACTTCTTCTTTTTGAAGTGTTCCATCACATGGTTAACTTCTTTGACGGGTCATTCTTTGTATGGTGAGATTTTCATTGGTGGGATCAAGTGACGGATGAAAAATATGAACCCTTATCTAACATATGTGTGGCATGCATAAGTCAAGCAAAAGTCACTGCAGCTTCTTCTTTTTGAAGTGTTCCATCAAATGGTTAACTTTTTTGAAGGGGTTCATTCTTTGTATGGTGAGATTTTCATTTGTGGGATGAAGTTTCGCAGAATAAACTTGAACCCTTCTTTGCTATTTAAAGTCTTAATTTCATATATTGCATTCGAACAAAGATATATTAGTTTTTAAGTCTTTGGCAAGAGAAATCCAAGATTTGCATCTCATAAAACCATTTCCTTTCCTGTGAAGGAACATAATCATGAGTTTTTACAACCAATTCTCTCAATCTTATGATTATCATCCACGACCATGCGAATGGGCCTATGCATTAAAAGCGAAGTTGGACGATCAAGAAAGGTACAGTTCACCTATGCCATTGATTGGGATGTATATCGCATTAGCATCTCTGTTTTGTATCCTTGCAATGGTGGCTGATCTATTACATGGCCTGAGGAACAGAAAACTATGGTTTCCATGTAAATACCTCACGCTGAATGCTGCTTCTCTCACCGTGATAGCTGTTGCAATAAAGCTACCCATGGATCTAACTAATCTAATGCCAGGCTATGTTGACCAGGCTGCAAAGCTTGGAAGCCTAGGCTTTATGTGCACCATGATGGTTAATTTATTGCCTTCTCTTGCATCCATGGACAGCAAGGAGCTTGTCACAAACATGATGGCTTTAGGTGTTCTGGTACTGACCTTGGTTGGGAATGTCTGCATTCAAATAAATACCGGAGTTCTATCATATCATGAAAGTAGCGATCCGTACTATTTCAAACTTCATTATAAAGAAATTTCCCCATCTTTCTCACGTTTAGAAGGCAATGGTTTGATAGCAACTATTTATGCGGGTATGCTACTCATGTTGCTGATAATATTTGCATGTTCATCTTTAGCCATTCTAAAGTCGAAGCAAATTCTGGAATCGAAATACCATGAAGCTCATGAAAAAGCTATAAAAGATCAAGAGCTTCAGCAACAAGGACAATTAACTATTGTGAAGCTAAAGAAGCATGTGAGCAACTACTGGATCATGGCAAGAACCGGAAGCCCCCAATTCATGACAGCTTGTTCTGCTACAACCGCTGCTTCTGGGGTAATATGTGCTTTTAGCACCATCTTACATATTGTTATTATGGTTTCCAATATTAGATCTCTAACTATAAGTCGGATTATAAGTGGTCGATGTCAGTGATTTTCATTATACAGTTTATTGGAGTCATTGTGGGTACAATTGCCCCACTTTCTAGATGTTTTGCCGTCTTAAGCTTTAAGTTGTCGGTAAAATGGATTTGGAACAATATCAAGGTCTTTAAAGTAGAAAGCTACTGGACTCAAAAGTTGTATGATTGGAAACTGAGTAGCACACCATTCCCATCCCGTAGCCGCAATTGCAAGATTGTGATCAAATATTTACAAATTCTTGTTCTCAACATCTGTATAGGATTTCAGAAGACAGTGGTGGTAGCATGCAAAATGATAGCTGTGATTCCAATTTTCTCTGTGATATGTGTCTTGTATTGTTTCTGTTGTAAAATACGACGGATCCAAATTGACTTAAATAATATTAGCTCAATGCGGAATGAGATCAAAAATTATCAAAACGTAATAATCACAACGTAATACGAATAAAATAAATAAAATAGAGACACAGGAATTTACGTGGAAACCCAAATCGGGAAAAAAAACCACGGGCGGAGGAAGCCGAGAAACAATTCACTATAATTTGCAGTGTTTACAGTGATTATGAAAGAGATTACAAATAGAGTGGGAGAGATAAAATACACGGTGGTGTATCAGTATATATATATGTAATGCATTTCTATATATACTTCAATGATATTAAACTTCTCTGGCCTAGGCTATTTTATAGCCAAGAATATCACACGTGAAGAGAAGAAAAATGTGCCGTCCAAAATTGTAGGCGCCTAATATTTGACCACCGTCCATTCTTCATTCAAATTCACATATATATTACTATAATATTAACCACCGTCCATTCTCATTTCCAAATTCACACTTATATTACTATTCATAGTCAAACTATGAATAGTAAATGATAAGTTACGGAAATAACCTCTGAACTATTTGCCACTTGCTAATTTTGGAGGTAACTTTTCCACAATCTCCACCTTGACATCAAAATTAAGCAAGTCATGCTTTACGATTAGTCAAAACCTATAACTCATCAAACTCTAAAACTTCCATAAGAACCTGCAATTTTATATAGAGAAAAAATTGTTTCCGAAAAAAATAAATAATACTTCCTCCACCTACGAGCCTTCAGGCTCAACTGCGATCAGAAACACCCACCATGTCCAAACATAATTTGAACTTGGCTATAGGAAGACTTTTAGTGAACATATCAGCGGGATTATAATCTGTATGAATCTTGTCCACAACACAATCGCCTTTTTCAATGATATCCCGCACAAAATGATAACGAATATCAATATGCTTAGTTCGGTCATGAAACATTTGATCTTTACTCAAGAAGATAGCACTCTGGTTGTCACAGAAAACTGTGGTCACCTTTATTCTATCATCGAGTTCTCCAAATAACCCCTTCAACCAGATATCTTCCTTAACTGCTTCTGTAATCGCCATGTACTCTGCCTCGGTAGAAGACAGGGCAACTGTAGACTGTAACTGGGCTTTCCAACTAACAACACAACCATTTAGAGTAAACACATATCCTGTAATTGATCTTCGTTTATCCAAATCTTTGCCATAATCTGAATCAACATATCCGAACACCCCAGTGTTAGATTTACCAAAACGTAAACACATAGAAGACGTACCACGTAAATAACGAAAAATCCACTGTACTGCTTTCCAGTGTTCTTTCCCCGGGTTCGCCATGTATCTACTAACCATGCTAACAGCATAAGCCAAATCAGGGCGCGTGCAGATCATAACATACATCAAAGATCCAACAGCACTAGAGTATGGAACACGTGCCATGTAAGCCATATCAGTCTCATTAGTAGGACTCAAAGCGGATGATAGCTTGAAATGAGCTGCAAAAGGTGTGTTGACAGACTTTGCTTCGTGCATACTGAAGCGTCTTAGGACTTTCTCAATATAACTTTTCTGAGAAAGATGCAAGATCCTAGACTTTCTGTCACGAATAATTTCCATACCTAAAATCTTTTTGGCAGCTCCTAAGTCCTTCATTTCAAATTCAGCTTTCAACTGGTCTTTTAACTTCTGAATCTCCTTCATATCTTTCGCTGCAATCAACATGTCATCCACGTACAAGAGTAAGTAGATCTTTGAACCATTGTCACCTTTCTTGAAATAAACGCAGCTATCATAGGTGCACCTGCTGAATTTGTGACTGGTCATGAAAGAATCGAACCTCTTGTACCATTGTCTAGGAGACTGCTTGAGGCCATAAAGAGATTTGTTCAACTTGCATACGTAGTTCTCCTTTCCAGGAACTACAAAACCTTCAGGTTGTTGCATAAAAATCTCTTCCTCAAGCTCACCATTTAGGAAAGCTGTAGTGACATCAAGTTGTTCTAACTCAAAATCGTTAGAAGCAACCAACCCCAACAATACACGAATGGAAGTATGTTTGACAACTGGGGAATAAATGTCAGTGTAATCAATAGCAGGAATCTGACTGTAGCCTTTAGCTACTAACCGAGCTTTGTATCTTGGTTTATCATTTTGGTTGACAGGTTCCTTGAGCTTGTAGACCCACTTGCATTTAACTGGTCTCTTCCCTTTCGGAATAGGAACTAAATTCCAAGTACTGTTTCGCTGCAAGGATTCCATCTCATTTTGCATAGCGAGCATCCAATCATTTGAGTCTTCAGATTTGATAGCCTCGTCATAATTCGCAGGCTCCGTTGCGGACTCAATATTATCAGCAACAATAAAAGCATATGCAACCAAATCAGATTCAGCATACCTCTTCGGAGGAATAATCTGTCTTCTCGGTCTATCTCTTGCAATGCTTGGAGTAGTAGCTTGTGGTTGTGAAGGTGTTGAATCTTCACCAACAACATGCTCATCCGACGAAGAAGAATCTTGATGCTGATTTGTACTCTGATTAGTGGTAGGTGAAGTAGGAAGCTCCACCTCCATTTGAGCATTCTCTTTATTTGCTTCGGATGATACATCTGATGCATCTGTTCTTTTAGAAGAGTCAGCAACTGGTTGAAATATAGCAGACTCATCAAAAGTAACATCTCTTGAGATGATAATTTTCTTCAAATCAAAGCTCCATAACTTGTAACCCTTTACACCTTGATTGTACCCAAGAAAAACGCATTTGATTGCTCTTGGTTCTAGCTTCCCATTGTCAACTCGTGCATACGCTGGACATCCGAATGGTTTTAAATCTGAATAATTTGCAGGTTTACCGGACCATAATTCAAACAGAGTTTTCTTCTCGATTGCTCGTGACGGTGATCGGTTGATAACATAGCAAGCAGTCGAAGCAGCCTCCGCCCAAAAAGACTTTGGCAATTTGGAATTAGAAAGCATACACCGGACCTTCTCCATAATGGTGCGATTCATTCTTTCAGCTACACCATTTTGTTGAGGTGAATGGACTACTGTGCGATGTCGAGTAATGCCTTCCTTTTGACAATAGACATTAAACTCTTCTGAGCAAATCTCAAGTCCATTATCCGTACGAAGATACTTTACCACCAGACCTGATTGCTTTTCAACCTGAACTTTCCAATTTCTGAAGGTAGAGAAAACGTCTCCTTTATTTTTTAAGAAGAAAGACCACACCTTCCTGGAGAAATCATCAATAATAGTGAGCATATAAATAGCTCCACCTTTTGAAGCAGCTCGAGCCGGTCCCCACAAATCCGAGTGAACATAATCAAGTGGTCCTTTCGTTGTATGGATACCACTTGCAAACCTCACTCGTTTTGCCTTGCCATATACACAGTCTTCACAGAAATCCAAATCAACAATCTTTTGTTGACCAAGTAAACCTCTTCGACTCAATTCTGACATGCCTTGAAAACTCATATGGCCGAGTCGAAGGTGCCAAAGACGGGACTGATCTGGATCATAAAAAGACTTTGACACAACAGCAGCATCACTCGAAATTGTTTGCCCGTCAAGAAAGTAAAGATCTGAGGTTTTTCGTTCGGCTCTCAGTTTGTCGGAACCGTCTTTGAATACCCTGAGAACTCCACCTTTACCAGCAAACTCGTATCCCTTTTTGTCAAAGGAACTGAGAGATAACAAGTTTCTTCTGAGGTCAGGAACATATCTAACATCCCCCATGGTTCGAATAACTCCGTCAAACATACGGATCCTGACTGAACCATGTCCAAGAACTGGACATGTAGTATTGTTACCCATCAACACATAGCCCTGGTTAACCTTTTCAAATGTGTAAAACCAACTTTTGTTGTGACACATATGAAAAGTACAACCAGAGTCGAGTATCCAATCACCAGTGGAATCTAGTTTATCTGAATAAACTGTCAAAAGTTCTCCAATACCTTCGACCTCAGCTAGATCGGCTTCACCCGAAGTGCTAGCTTGTTTACCATTTGCTGCCGTCTTCTCTTTTTCTTTGTTCTTCAACTTGAAGCATTCTTCAAGCACATGTCCCTTCTTATGACAATAGTTGCAAAACTTTCGTTTGCCTTTTGACTTGGATCTGGTTCTGTTGGAAGATTGAGAAGTTCTATTTCTCTCTGTTGTTCTTCCTCTGGCATTCAAACCTTCGGCTTTAGCATCACTTGAACCACCACCAGTAATATGCTTCATCTTCTCTTTTGAATCCAAAGCTGTATAGACTTCATCTAAAACTAGAGTGTCACGGCTATAGATAATAGTATCACGAAAATGGCTATAGGATTCTGGCAACGACGACAGTAAGAATAGAGCCAAGTCTTCATCTTCATACTGAACATCCATATTCTCTAAGTTATTTACTAACTCTTTAAATGTGGATATATGTTCAGTTAAAGAGCCTCCTTCAATCATCTTGAGATTGAACAATCGTTGCTTCAAATGCAACTTGTTTGGTAAGCTCTTGGTCATCAACAGTTGCTCCAACTTTAGCCATAAAGAAGCCGCTGACGTTTCTTTTAGAACATCTTGCAAAACATCGTTTGACAAGTGCAAACGAATCTGGGATAAAGCCTTCAGATCTTTCATCTCCTTTTCTTCTTCGGTCCATGTATCGGGCATCTTATTGAAACCCAATAGCGCCTTGTGTAAATCCATCTGAATGAGAATGTCTCTCATCTTTACTTGCCACAACGGAAATCGGGTGTTACGATCCAGTAGTGGAATATCGTATTTTACCGAAGACATGATTAATTACTCGATAAAATGATCCCAACGAGCTAATATCACAACCCGGATGCTCTGATACCAATTGTTGTAAAATACGACGGATCCAAATTGACTTAAATAATATTAGCTCAATGCGGAATGGGATCAAAAATTATCAAAGCGTAATAATCACAACGTAATACGAATAAAATAAATAAAATAGAGACACAGGAATTTACGTGGAAACCCAAATCGGGAAAAAAAACCACGGGCGGAGGAAGCCGATAAACAATTCACTATAATTTGCAGTGTTTACAGTGATTATGAAAGAGATTACAATAGAGTGGGAGAGATAAAATACACGGTGGTGTATAAGTATATATATATGTAATGCATTTCTATATATACTTCAATGATATTAAACTTCTCTGGCCAAGAATATCACACGTGAAGAGAAGAAAAATGTGCCGTCCAAAATTGTAGGCGCCTAATATTTGACCACCGTCCATTCTTCATTCAAATTCACATATATATTACTAAATTAACCACCGTCCATTCTCATTTCCAAATTCACACTTATATTACTATTCATAGTCAAACTATGAATAGTAAATGATAAGTTACGGAAATAACCCCTGAACTATTTGCCACTTGCTAATTTTGGAGGTAACTTTTCCACAGTTTCCAATTTTGGAAGCGGTTAAAGGCCATGTTTAAGGCGTCGAGCATTGTGTTGGTACAAAATCCTGAGCAACAAGAAGGAAATGAAAATCTTAGTTGGTACGTTTTACAACTTCAAGAGGATATAGAGTTTGCTGAGACAACATTGAAAGGCATTTTAAAATCTGTGAACCGTTTGATCCAAAAGGCTGAAAAACAACAACCTAACAATCTTATGAAGCTTCTTGCGGAATCTAGAGGCTTTGAAGGGGTTGAAAAGTTTGAAAGCCATCATGTCCCTCCTTTAGTTGCAGAAGAATATCTGAATTGTTGGAGTTTGTCGTTGGTAACTCTGACATCCATCGCCATGTCTCTTCCTAACATCCAAAAGAACAAAGTCGATTGGTTGGTGAGTGGTGTGAGTGAAGGTCTTGTATATGTCAAACTTGTGGAAAAAACCCTCAATGCTACTGATAATCATGTAAGCATTCAAAAGGCAGCTGAAACTTTGTGGGTAGAAGTTGAAGTCTACCACAAGTGGTTAGGAAACAAGCTGCCAAAACCAAAGCCTAAAGTGAATACACTAGGACATATTCTACAATGGTTAAGGGATACAGCTAAAAACAAGGCCAATGAGGTGGAAAGCAAAAATGATAATTTCAAATACAGGTCTATTTGTGCCAATTTAATGTATCGTATCACCGAAACAATCCTGCTCTCATACCACGGTAACAATGACGAGATTAGCCAAGAGGAACTATTTGCCCTGTTATCATCAATGATTGCCGATATATTAGCTGCTTGTCTCACCAACTTACCTCAAGTCATTGCAATGAAATGCCACGAAAATGCCATAGAGAAAAGGGAGGCGAGTGTCCGAGCTGCAGCCCAACTTCTTGGTGAGACCACACATATAATCAACAGCCTTCAAGTTCGTGAACTTCCAAGTTTGAATCCAGACGAGTTAGCGTTTATTGACAAGTGGCGTGCTTACTTAAGCGACCCCTTTCCTTAATAAACACTACTGTAATTTGAGTAACCAAGCTTGTTTTATAAAGATTTGTTATAATTTCTTTTCTTTTCGCAAAAGATTATGTAATTTCCTTTAATGCATGTTTTAAGACTTGAATATGAACAGAGAAGTATTGGCCAATATGTTATTCACCGGCAACACCCTCCACCTAAAAAAAGTATTCTGAATTGAGTGGCCATGCACCTTCACCGAGTCTGTATCATTAGCATTCAGAAAGCACGTTGAGTTTGTGTTTATAGTTAATTTCCATGTTGAGTTTGGAATGGCCCACAATGATATCTCATTTTCCATAGTTCTGTCTTGATAACTGTAACACCCTTAAATTGGAAATTAGAATCCTATCAAAATTTCGGCATGAGAGACTTGACAAAAACTGACTCGAAACGAAAACTCCCAATTCGAAACCATAAACTCCCTAAATGAACATGAAATCAAGATGGTTTAGTGAGGGATCAAGATTTTGAATAATTGGTGGATGTTAGAAATTTAGAAGTATGATGGGGATTAGATCCGGTTCTAGGGTTAGAACCGTTGCCTGTGTTCGAGAACACATAATCTCCCAGATTAGTCAATGACTAGCTTTATTAATGGATAAATAAAAAAACCAATGTGTTGTAAAATACGACGGATCCAAATTGACTTAAATAATATTAGCTCAATGCGGAATGGGATCAAAAATTATCAAAGCGTAATAATCACAACGTAATACGAATAAAATAAATAGAATAGAGACACAGGAATTTACGTGGAAACCCAAATCGGGAAAAAAACCACGGGCGGAGGAAGCCGAGAAACAATTCACTATAATTTGCAGTGTTTACAGTGATTATGAAAGAGATTACAAATAGAGTGGGAGAGATAAAATACACGGTGGTGTATCAGTATATATATATGTAATGCTTTTCTATATATACTTCAATGATATTAAACTTCTCTGGCCTAGGCTATTTATAGCCAAGAATATCACACGTGAAGAGAAGAAAAATGTGCCGTCCAAAATTGTAGGCGCCTAATATTTGACCACCGTCCATTCTTCATTCAAATTCACATATATATTACTATAATATTAACCACCGTCCATTTTCATTTCCAAATTCACACTTATATTACTATTCATAGTCAAACTATGAATAGTAAATGATAAGTTACGGAAATAACCCCTGAACTATTTGCCACTTGCTAATTTTGGAGGTAACTTTTCCACAATCTCCACCTTGACATCAAAATTAAGCAAGTCATGCTTTACGATTAGTCAAAACCTATAGCTCATCAAACTCTAAAACTTCCATAAGAACCTGCAATTTTATATAGAGAAAAAATTGTTTCCGAAAAATAAATAATACTTCCTCCACCTACGAGCCTTCAGGCTCAACTGCGATCATAAACACCCACCATGTCCAAACATAATTTGAACTTGGCTATATGAAGCCTTTTAGTGAACATATCAGCGGGATTATAATCTGTATGAATCTTGTCCACAACACAATCGCCTTTTTCAATGATATCCCGCACAAAATGATAACGAATATCAATATGCTTAGTTCGGTCATGAAACATTTGATCTTTACTCAAGAAGATAGCACTCTGGTTGTCACAGAAAATTGTGGTCACCTTTATTCTATCATTGAGTTCTCCAAATAACCCCTTCAACCAGATATCTTCCTTAACTGCTTCTGTAATCGCCATGTACTCTGCCTCGGTAGAAGACAGGGCAACTGTAGACTGTAACTGGGCTTTCCAACTAACAGCACAACCATTTAGAGTAAACACATACCCTGCAATTGATATTCGTTTATCCAAATCTTTGCCATAATCTGAATCAACATATCCGAACACCCCAGTGTTAGATTTACCAAAACGTAAACACATAGAAGACGTACCGCATAAATAACGAAAAATCCACTGTACTGCTTTCCAGTGTTCTTTCCCCGGGTTCGCCATGTATTTACTAACCATGCTAACAGCATAAGCCAAATCAGGGCGCGTGCAGATCATAGCATACATCAAAGATCCAACAGCACTAGAGTATGGAACACGTGCCATGTAAGCCATATCAGTCTCATTAGTAGGACTCAAAGCGGATGATAGCTTGAAATGAGCTGCAAAAGGTGTGTTGACAGACTTTGCTTCGTGCATACTGAAGCGTCTTAGGACTTTCTCAATATAACTTTTCTGAGAAAGATGCAAGATCCTAGACTTTCTGTCACGAATAATTTCCATACCTAAAATCTTTTTGGCAGCTCCTAAGTCCTTCATTTCAAATTCAGCTTTCAACTGGTCTTTTAACTTCTGAATCTCCTTCATATCTTTCGCTGCAATCAACATGTCATCCACGTACAAGAGTAAGTAGATCTTTGAACCATTGTCACCTTTCTTGAAATAAACGCAGCTATCATAGGTGCACCTGCTGAATTTGTGACTGGTCATGAAAGAATCGAACCTCTTGTACCATTGTCTAGGAGACTGCTTGAGGCCATAAAGAGATTTGTTCAACTTGCATACGTAGTTCTCCTTTCCAGGAACTACAAAACCTTCAGGTTGTTGCATAAAAATCTCTTCCTCAAGCTCACCATTTAGGAAAGCTGTAGTGACATCAAGTTGTTCTAACTCAAAATCGTTAGAAGCAACCAACCCCAACAATACACGAATGGAAGTATGTTTGACAACTGGGAATAAATGCCAGTGTAATCAATACCAGGAATCTGACTGTAGCCTTTAGCTACTAACCGAGCTTTGTATCTTGGTTTATCATTTGGGTTGACAGGTTCCTTGAGCTTGTAGACCCACTTGCATTTAACTGGTCTCTTCCCTTTCGGAATAGGAACTAAATTCCAAGTACTGTTTCGCTGCAAGGATTCCATCTCATTTTGCATAGCGAGCATCCAATCATTTGAGTCTTCAGATTTGATAGCCTCGTCATAATTTGCAGGCTCCGTTGCAGACTCAATATTATCAGCAACAATAAAAGCATAGGCAACCAAATCAGATTCAGCATACCTATTCGGAGGAATAATCTGTCTTCTCGGTCTATCTCTTGCAATGCTTGGAGTAGTAGCTTGTGGTTGTGAAGGTGTTGAATCTTCACCAACAACATGCTCATCCGACGAAGAAGAATCTTGATGCTGATTTGTACTCTGATTAGTGGTAGGTGAAGTAGGAAGCTCCACCTCCATTTGAGCATTCTCTTTATTTGCTTCGGATGATACATCTGATGCATCTGTTCTTTTAGAAGAGTCAGCAACTGGTTGAAATATAGCAGACTCATCAAAAGTAACATCTCTTGAGATGATAATTTTCTTCAAATCAAAGCTCCATAACTTGTAACCCTTTACACCTTGATTGTACCCAAGAAAAACGCATTTGATTGCTCTTGGTTCTAGCTTCCCATTGTCAACTCGTGCATACGCTGGACATCCGAATGGTTTTAAATCGGAATAATTTGCAGGTTTACCGGACCATAATTCAAACGGAGTTTTCTTCTCGATTGCTCGTGACGGTGATCGGTTGATAACATAGCAAGCAGTCGAAGCAGCCTCCGCCCAAAAAGACTTTGGCAATTTGGAATTAGAAAGCATACACCGGACCTTCTCCATAATGGTGCGATTCATTCTTTCAGCTACACCATTTTGTTGAGGTGAATGGACTACTGTGCGATGTCGAGTAATGCCTTCCTTTTGACAATAGACATTAAACTCTTCTGAGCAAAACTCAAGTCCATTATCCGTACGAAGATACTTTACCACCAGACCTGATTGCTTTTCAACCTGAACTTTCCAATTTCTGAAGGTAGAGAAAACGTCTCCTTTATTTTTTAAGAAGAAAGACCACACCTTCCTGGAGAAATCATCAATAATAGTGAGCATATAAATAGCTCCACCTTTTGAAGCACCTCGAGCCGGTCCCCACAAATCCGAGTGAACATAATCAAGTGGTCCTTTCGTTGTATGGATACCACTTGCAAACCTTACTCGTTTTGCCTTGCCATATACACAGTCTTCACAGAAATCCAAATCAACAATCTTTTGTTGACCAAGTAAACCTCTTCGACTCAATTCTGACATGCCTTGAAAACTCATATGGCCGAGTCGAAGGTGCCAAAGACGGGACTGATCTGGATCAGAAAGAGACTTTGACATAACAGCAGCATCACTCGAAATTGTTTGCCCGTCAAGAAAGTAAAGATCTGAGGTTTTTTGTTCGGCTCTCAGTTTGTCGGAACCGTCTTTGAATACCCTGAGAACTCCACCTTTACCAGCAAACTCGTATCCCTTTTTGTCAAAGGAACTGAGAGATAACAAGTTTCTTCTGAGGTCTGGAACATATCTAACATCCCCCATGATTCGAATAACTCCGTCAAACATACGGATCCTGACTGAACCATGTCCAAGAACTGGACATGTAGTATTGTTACCCATCAACACATAGCCCTGGTTAACCTTTTCAAATGTGTAAAACCAACTTTTGTTGTGACACATATGAAAAGTACAACCAGAGTCGAGTATCCAATCACCAGTGGAATCCAGTTTATCTGAATAAACTGTCAAAAGTTCTCCAATACCTTCGACCTCAGCTAGATCGGCTTCACCCGAAGTGCTAGCTTGTTTACCATTTGCTGCCGTCTTCTCTTTTTCTTTGTTCTTCAACTTGAAGCATTCTTCAAGCACATGTCCCTTCTTGTGACAATAGTTGCAAAACTTTCGTTTGCCTTTTGACTTGGATCTGGTTCTGTTGGAAGATTGAGAAGTTCTACTTCTCTCTGTTGTTCTTCCTCTGGCATTCAAACCTTCGGCTTTAGCATCACTTGAACCACCACCAGTAATATGCTTCATCTTCTCTTTTGAATCCAAAGCTGTATAGACTTCATCTAAAACTAGAGTGTCACGGCTATAGATAATAGTATCACGAAAATGGCTATAGGATTCTGGCAACGACGACAGTAAGAATAGAGCCAAGTCTTCATCTCCATACTGAACATCCATATT